CTCCTGCTGCCCCTGCTGCTGCTGCTGCTAGCGGCGGGAGCGCCGTGCTGCTGCTGCACGTGCTGCTGCTGCACTTGCTGCTGCTGCTGCTGCTGCTGTTGAGTGCGTGGTTTGCTGCTGCTGTGGGGTGTTTGTTCAGGAATAATAGACCCCACGAAGGTGGTGAAGACAGCTCTCAGCGACGCAGCTTCTGTTGCTTCTCTTATGGCCACAACTGAAGCAGCAATTGTCGACGCCCCAGAGCCCCGAGCAGCAGCAGCAGACCTCGCTGGCAGCCAGGCGGGCGGAATGCCCATGGGCGGCATGTTCTAAGCAGCAGCACACAAACACGAGCAGCAGCACGAAAAATAGGGTACCAAAAGGGCCCCAGGGGGGTTTCGGGAGCCCCGGGGGGCCCCGGGGGCCCCTGGGGGGCCCCTAGGGAGGCTTTTGGGGGGCCCAAGGGGGATTCTTGGGGGCCCTTAAAGGGACCCTAGGGGGCCTCTGGGGGGCCCTAGGGGGCCCCTCAGGGGCCCCTCAGGGGGGCCCCTCAGGGAGCCCCATGGGGGTTATGTATGGGCCTGTGTGGCTGGGCGGGGCGCCGAGGACGGGGCCGGCGCTGCAGCAGGGCGGCTGCTGCAGTGCTGCTGCTGCTGCAGCACCAGCTGCAGCAGCGGGGCTTTTGAGGGCTGCAGGTGCAGCAGCTCTTGCTGCAGCAGCAAAGAACACGCGGAAGCCAGCAGAAGACCTAACGTGGCTGGGGTGTACGTACACCCCGCGCAATTATTGGCTCGGGGCCCAGCCCCTCTTTTCCTTTTAAAACTTCACTAAGTTTGGCGGAGCCTCAGCTGCGAAACCCTAAACCCTAAACCCTAAACCCTAGCTGGTCAAACCCTAGCTACGCCATTGGCTACCCCGCACACAGCGCCTTCTTCGCCCGCCCGGGACACCAGAACCCCAAACCCTAAACCCTAAACCCTAAACCCTAGCTTGAACGCAAACATGGGTCTGTAAACAACGCCCAGGGCGCTCTTCAAGCCGTCCCATTGGGGGCCCCCAACTAGGGGGCCCCATTTAGGGGCCCCCAGATGGGGGGCCCCCGTTGGCTGCTTAAGAGATGGGCCATCTGGGGGCCCCCAGGGGCCCCTCTTTTGGCTGGGGGCCCCCAAGGCCAGAGACAACACTGTAGGCGGGCCCCTGCGCCTCGCCACTCTTCGCTGGGGGCCCCCTAACTACAGGGGGCACCCCAGTGGGGCCCCTGTGGGGGCCCCCCAGCCCCCAGGGGGTTCCCTAGGGGGGCCCCGTGGGGCCCCTTACTAAAGGGGGCCCCCACGGGGGTACCCTTTCTTCTGAAGGCCCCCAAGAAAAGGGGGCCCCCAGGGGGGCCCCTCTACATATATATGAGGGCCCCTGAATAGATTTAGGGGTCCCCTTGGGGGCCCCCCTAAATAGGAGGGGCCCCCCTGGGGGCCCCCCAAATAGAAAGGAAACCTAAAGGGCCCTTTAAAGGGAGCCCAGTGGGGGCCCCTTAACTGGGGCCCCTAAATGGGGTTTAGTTTATGTGGCGGCTATTGGGCGGTAAGGGCAGCCCCTAAACCCTAAACCCTAAACCCTAATCTTCGAAGGCTGAGCTGACTCCTAGTGGCTTTTGTACCACCGAAAAAAGTAAAAGAGAGCGCCGCCTGCAGAACAGAAGCATCTACACAGGATAACCCTAAACCCTAAACCCTAAACCCTAAACCCTGGCTGCAGCCGCAGGCAGCGCATACGGATCCAAACCCTAAACCCTAAACCCTAAACCCTTCAGCCTCTAGGGTTTATAAATACCCGCGAGAAGTCCGAGGAGGAGGGAGCCGCTCACGCCGTCTGTACAAACACCCCAACCCCCAATCCCTAAACCCTAAACCCTAAACCCTAACGCCAGGTCCCAAGCCACAACCTTTGCCGTCACCTCAAACCCGCAATGTGCAGGCGCTGGACTGTAAACCCGCCACCCCAATCCCTAAACCCTAAACCCTTTTCCCCAAACCCTAAACCCTAAACCCTAACCCTGAGCAGCAAACCCTAGCTTCTTACCGTAGGCTGCCCGGTCCAATATAAGGCTGTGCAGAGATAAGGCTGATAGGTTGCGTGGCTCCTGAGCATCCAAACCCCAAACCCTAAACCCTAAACCCTAAACCCTAAACCCTACGCCGCCTTCTTCCCCGCACGCGCCCCTGCACATGCATCCGCTCAAGTCTAGGGCTACGGGTGGCCTGCTAGGGTTTTGGAGCTGCTAGGGTTTAGGGTTTGGGGTTTAGGGCTGGCTAGGGTTTGGGATTTAGGGTTTAGGGTTTAGGGTTTGGCACCATTCTAAGGAGGGTTTCCACTCTTCGCTTCGCAAGAGAGTAATGGCCCAACTTCAAGTACACGAGCGCCAGCTGGAACAGGCAGTCCGACCTAACGCGCAAACCCTAAACCCTAAACCCTAAACCCTAAACCCTAAACCCTAAACCCTAAACCC